CATCACCTGCATCATCATCAGCAGCAGCATGTGCAGCATCATCAGCATCATCAGCAGCATCATCAGTATCATCATCAGCAACAGCATCATCATCATTATCAGCATCATCAGAATAGAATCAGGATCATCATCAGCATCGTCATCAGCATCATCATCGTCATCGTCCTCATCATCATCCTCATCATCGTCATCATCAGCAGCAGCATCAGCAGCAGCATCAGCAGAAGCATCAGCATCACCATCATCGTCATCATGATTACCACCAACATCATCATCACCATCACCGTCTGGATCCTCCTCCGCCACACCATCCTCCCTACAGACCCATGGAACCTCCCTGGACCATTCAGAGTATCGCAGACCACTAAAACCCACTTACCCCCCTCGTCCTCTTCCTTCCTCCTCCTTATCCGCATCATTCCTCCTCTTCCGCCTGGCAAGCCACGGGCAACAAGTTCCGAGCAAAGCAACGCGCACTATGACCACGGCGACGACGCTGCCGCCGCCGCCAACGCCGACGACGACGACGACGACGACGACGACGACGACGACGGAGACGAGGCCACATCGACGCACTGATTCGGGAAAGGGCCCACCTTGCGAAGCTTGGTACAAAGCAGATCGTTGAGCGCTGCTGCGGCCCTCCTCCTCCTCCTCCTCCGCCTCCACCTCCCCCTCCTGCTCCTCCTCCTCCTCCTCCTCCTCCTCCTCCTCCTCCACATCCTCCTCTTCCTCCTTCTCCTCCTCCACCAGCCAGGCATGTGGGGTTTGGCACCCTCATGCCTTGCTGAACTGGGGGGGCGAATTCGTCCGCATGCCTGTCTTTCGGACTATGGGAGCCGTGGCGTTCAGGGGGCGTCTTGGCTACGGGACGCAACGGCCACCGCCGCCCGCTCTCTCTGGTCGGCGGCCCCGGCGAGGTTTCGGGGGGGGGGGGGCGCCGACCACCCCCCGGCGCAACCAATGCGGCAAGGCTGGAGGGTGCAAGCCCGAAATGTCTCGTGACTGCTCGGGGGGAGGCCGCGGAGCCGCTCGAAGATGTCAAGAGGAGGAAACGGTACCCATACCCCTACCTGTCGCCTGCTTTCCCTTTTTGGGGGCCTCCTGGGAGGCCTTCGTCGCCACCGCTGGATTCGACTCGAGATTCTGCTCGGAGCGCACCCAGGGAGAGGTCCAGGGAGTAGCGGTGTCGGTACCTCTTGATTTCCCCAAGATGCGTTTTGTACCAAACATCACGGGTGGGCCCGTTCCCAGATCACGCATGCATCGGTGCGGATCGTAAGCGTGCCTCGCGTGTGTGTGTGTGTGTGTGTCGTTGTCGTCGGCGTCGGCGTCGTCGCCGCGGCCGTGGTGCGCGCTGTTGTACCCGGGACTTCTTTCCTTGGTGCCGTGACCACCACCGCCCCCTCTTTCTCCTCCAACCCATCTTCCCCAGGCTTGAAAAAAAACCGGGGACCATTCAGAACACACCTGAGATCCTTAAGTGTTCCTCCTCATTTCTCTTCCTCCTCCAGGTCCGCGCCCTCCACGTCCAGGGAGACTGCTGGCACGCTGCGCGAGTTGCTGGCTCTAGCACCTCTTTTGGCCAAGGGTTGTTGGACCTCCTGGCAGGACTTTTGGGCCCCAGCGCGGGGGATTCGGACACTGTGTCCTTCAGCACCATCCCACCATCCTCCTCATCCTCCTGATCATCACCACCATCATCGTCATCCTCATCATCACCACCACCACCATCATCATCATCATCATCATCATCATCATCAGCATCATCATCATCACCATCCTCATCATCATCGTCGTCATCATCATCACCACCACCACCATCCTCGTCATCATCCTCATCATCATCATCATCATCGTCGTCATCATCATCCTAAGCATCATCATCAGCATCATCATCAGCAGCATTGCCATCATCATCATCATCATCATCATCATCATCATCATCATCATCCTCAATAGCATCATCATAAGCATCATCGGCAGCAGCGGCAGCAGCAGCAGCAGCATCGTCGTCATCATCCTCATCATCACCACCACCACCATCCTCATCATAATCGTCCTCATCATCCTCGTCACCAGCAGCAGCAACAGTAGCATCAACAACGACAACACCAACATCATCATCAGCAGCATCATTATCATATTCAGATTCATCTTCGTCGTCATCATCATCATCATGATTATAGTCAGCATCGTCGCCAGCACCGCCACCACCATCATAATCAGCAGCATCATCGACGTCATCGTTATCATCATATCATTATCCGCCTCCTCCTCATCATCATCATCATATCCATCATCATCATCATCATCATCATCATCATCATCATCATCATCATCATCATCATCATCATCATCATCCTCATCCTCATCCTCATCCTCATCCTCATTATGATCCTCATCATCAGCAGCAGCAGCATCCTCATTCCTCCTGCCCGTTCCTCCCATCCACCCCTCCTCTCCCTCCGTCCCCAGAGTGCCCCTGCCCCCCAACGGGTGGGGCAGTGCGCACCTGGGGGGGGACGCCTGGGGCGCCACAGGGCATGGGCCTGGTGGCGCTGCAGAACACGAAGGAGACGAGCTGGTGCATGACGCGCGACGTGGTGCGCGTCGCGTACGCGGCCAAGCCCAGGCGCTGCCCCGCCGCCTGGGGGTGGCCGTCGCCGTCGCGATGTCTCTCTGGGTGTTGCAGCGGAAACACACGCCAAGACACACCCCGCTTGCCTCCAGGGTGCCCTGGGCATCTTGCGTTTCGATGGTCTTACGATGGACAGCGCGGCGCTCCCACGCCCAAGAATCCGTGGACGTCCTGGGGTCTCAGGGTTGGGTTTCTTGTGGAAGGTTTCTTGTGGTCGAGCTCCTACTGTAGCCCAGACCTCCGTCGGGCTCTCTGGATGTCTCGCGCGTTGAAGCAGCAGGGCGGAGGTGTTTCGTCGTCCTCGGCGTCGGGGCGCCCTCGCCAGGCCCCCCGGGACCGTCGGGAGACGATCTCTGGCGAAGCGCCGAATCTTTTGGCATCTTTGGGCATCCTTTGGAATCCTTGAAGCCCCTTGGCGGAGGCGGAAATCATCCAAAAATAGTTCAAACATAGTCAGGGGACTATTTTTTCAGTTTTTGATCCTTGATCCTTCGGAATCCTTGCTCCTTGATCCTTGATTCAATGGATGACTTCCGCCTTGATCCTTCGGAATCCGTGGGGGTCCTCCGGATCAGGGCCCTTTGGGGATCCTTGGGAGTCCCGGTGGCCCGCGCGGCAGCGGCGTGCAGAGGGCCTCCCCGGCGCCGCGCCGCGGCGAGAGGACCGCCGCGGAGAAGCTTGCACTGCGCGCCGGTCCCGATGCCTGCCGCGTGTTTCGGGAGCCTTGAGACGGGGGGCCAATGCAAACGGGGGTCAGCCAGGGCGCCAGATCCTGCAGGATCCTGCGAAGACCCCCTCTGGCTGACCCGGGTTAGCGAGCCGCTCGTGGCCGCGAGGCGGCCGAGCGTATTGGCTGACCCGGGTTTGCGAAGATTTGCGTTGCAGTTTTTTTTCCTGCATTGCAGTTTTTGGTTTCCTGCTGACCCGGGTCTGGATTGACCCGGGTCAGAAGATCCCCGAGTGTTCGTCAGGAGACCAGGAAGAGGTCCAGAGCTCCTTTGGGGGGTCCCGTCTCGAAAAAGTAACTGTCGGAGGTCGGGAAACAGGTTTTTCCCAACCATCCTGTGGTGTTGGGTCCTCGTTTTGAAGAGACAGCGCCCCGCGTTCACTCCTCCTCCCGCTGCCCCCTCCCTCCTGCCATCATCATCATCATCACCATCATCATCGTCATCATCATCATCATCATCGTCATCATCATCATTATCATCATCATTATCATCATCATTCCTCTCCTCTCCTCTCCTCTCCTCTTCTCCTCTCCTCTTCACCCACCCAGTACACTGTTTCGTGGCTCCATAGGGAGCTCCACCGAAGGCCCCAGTGCCCGCGCCCGCATGCGTCACCCACACCCATTTCGGCACACCCCTCACACGTTTCGTGGCTCCATAGGGAGCTCCACCGAAGGCCCCAGTGCCCGCGCCCGCATGCGTCACCCACACCCATTTCGGCACACCCCTCACACGTTTCGTGGCTCCATAGGGAGCTCCACCGAAGGCCCCAGTGCCCGCGCCCGCATGCGTCACCCACACCCATTTCGGCACACCCCTCACACGTTTCGTGGCTCCATAGGGAGCTCCACCGAAGGCCCCAGTGCCCGCGCCCGCATGCGTCACCCACACCCATTTCGGCACACCCCTCACACGTTTCGTGGCTCCATAGGGAGCTCCACCGAAGGCCCCAGTGCCCGCGCCCGCATGCGTCACCCACACCCATTTCGGCACACCCCTCACACGTTTCGTGGCTCCATAGGGAGCTCCACCGAAGGCCCCAGTGCCCGCGCCCGCATCCACACCCATTTCGGCGTGGCTCCATAGCGAAGGCCCGCGCCCGCATGCGTCACCCACACCCATTTCGGCACACCCCTCACACGTTTCGTGGCTCCATAGGGAGCTCCACCGAAGGCCCCAGTGCCCGCGCCCGCGCCCGCATGCGCCCCACCCACACCCATTTCGGCACACCCCTCACACGTTTCGTGGCTCCATAGGGAGCTCCACCGAAGGCCCCAGTGCCCGCGCCCGCATGCGTCACCCACACCCATTTCGGCACACCCCTCACACGTTTCGTGGCTCCATAGGGAGCTCCACCGAAGGCCCCAGTGCCCGCGCCCGCATGCGTCACCCACACCCATTTCGGCACACCCCTCACACGTTTCGTGGCCCCATAGGGAGCTCCACCGAAGGCCCCAGTGCCCGCGCCCGCATGCGTCACCCACACCCATTTCGGCACACCCCTCACACGTTTCGTGGCCCCATAGGGAGCTCCACCGAAGGCCCCAGTGGCGGCGCTCACATGCGCATGCGTCCCGCACACCCATTTCGGCACATCCCTGACAGGTTTCGTGGCCCCATCATCCACCGGAGGCCCCAGTGGCGGCGCTCACATGCGTCACCCACACCCACCCAATTCGGCACACCCCTCACACGTTTCGTGGCCCCATAGGGAGCTCCACCGAAGGCCCCAGCGGCCGCGCTCACATGCGTCCCCGCCACCCATCCCGGCACGCCCCTCACAACAACAGGTTTCGTGGCCCCATAGGGAGCTCCACCGAAGGCCCCAGTGGCTGCCGCCCGCATGCGTCACCACCCGCACCCAATTCGGCACACCCCTCACACGTTTCGTGGCCCCATAGAGAGCTGCACCGAAGGCCCCAGTGGCGGCGCTCACATGCGTCCCCGCCACACATCCCAGTACACCCCTCACGCGCTTCGTGGCCCCATAGGGAGCTCCACCGAAGGCCCCAGTAGCGGCGCTTACATGCGTCTCCGCCACCCATCCCCGCCCCCCCCCCCGCAGCAGCATCATGTTTCGGGGACCCATAGGGAGCTCCACTGGAGGCCCCAGTGGCGGCCCGCACATGCGTTTCCGCCACCCATGTCGGCACGCCCCGCGCGTGTTTCATGTCCCCATAGGGAGCTTCGCCGAATGCCCCAGTGGCACCCATCTCGGCACACCCCTCACACGTTCCGTAATCCTATGGGGAGTTCCATTGAAGATGAAACCCGCAGCTGCGGTATTGACAACTGCATATGGTTGGGTTCTTCGCCAGGCTAATTTTTGTTCAAGAGGCGTACAGTCGACCCGCATAGAGGGTACCCTTGCATCCTTGCCTCCTCGGTCCGTCCTTGGCCACTTTCGTTGACCGCGCCCCGCTGGAAAAGCTTCGAAATGGCCTTCTAAGGCCCGTGCGCCCTTGTCGTGCATCCTTATGATACAGGCCGACTGCATGCCATCTGCCTGCCCCCAGAAGGGGGGGGTGCGGTTCCCGCTTCTGTAGGTGTGGTGGTTGCCACTACACGTCGTGTGTTTTGTAAACTTGTCGTGCTCTTCCTCCGCGCCTCCAGGCTCGAGATTTCCAGTCAACATCAGTTCGGGGCCTTTCGTGCCTGTTGGGGTCTGGCCTGGGAAATCGTTGCCGAGGGCTCGTGGAGGAGCGGCAGTGATGCGCGTGCTCGTGGATGGTATTGTCCTCCCCGTTCAGACTTCCGACGGCGACGTGTTGTCGAGTCGCGAGCCCCAAGAGCTCCCGACCCTTCACGGGGACTGACCTTCCATGCCGAATATGGCTTGTCGGCGGAAGCCGAAATTGCAAAATAAAACAGAGTTACGACGTTCCAACTTACTTCAAAGAATTTTGGGCACCAAGAAAATACCCGACCTTGTGGGTTTTCACGTGTCGGGCTCTGGGAGGCGACACCCGTTCGACAGTGTGTCGACACTTCTCTGGGTGCTCGAAATTATTTCTGGGATGTGGTCCTTCGGTAGGGTGGGAGCAACATAAATCCAGAGGCATGCTCCAGTCGCCAGAGGTATGGTCCCCGAATGCTCTTCACCTCTTGCGCTGCCCTCGTCGCGCTCGCCTCATCACCCACCTGTGTGCCCTGGTCCCTGCTCCCGCTCGTGCCCCTCGCGCTCCAGCCTCGGACGCTCCTCCCGAGGAGCCGGGGGAGGGGAAGGAGAGGGGGCAGGGAGGAGGCGGGGGGAAGGAGAGGGGGGAAGGGAAAGGAGGGAGGTCGGGAAGAGGAGATGGAAGGAGGCATAGGTGGGGAGCGAAGGGGAAGGGAGAGGGGAAGGAGGGGCGGGAGAGGGGTGGAACAAGGGAAGGAGGGGAAGGGCACCCGGGAGGGAGGTCCTGGCCAGTCTTGGGCCACGTAGCCCTTGCGTTGCTGGGCAGAGTGAAGAAGATCACGTCGCGCAGGTCTGCCGCCACGGGAAGCAGCGCGGCGGGAAGGGGGGCGAGGCACCGCAGGAAGCAGCGCCACGACACCGGCCTGCGCACGGTCGGCAGCGCTGGTTGAGCGTGTCACGCAGCCGGTTCTGGCCCACTGCGCTTCGGCGCGAAGCGCACGCAGCTTCCCGCCCGCGCAACAAGAGAGCGACGCGCCATCTGCTCACAGGGCACAGCGTGCCGCCGCGGCTGCGACACGCCAAGCAGAAGTTCCCGACGGCACAGAAGCAAACAGAGCGTCAAAAACTTGTTTCTGGAGTCACAGCCACAAGCCAAAAGGCAGACGCCGCACGCTCTGCGCCTCCATCTCCCCCGCTGCCCCCGCCCGCACGCGCCACATCTTCAGCCTGGAGTTCTTCTTCTCCCCCGTCGAGGACGACTGCGAGTACAAGGCCCAGGCGCCCCCCAGCGCACGCGCCCCGGTACACTGGTCATGCATTAACCCAAAAGCATCCCCGTCGTATTTCAAGCATACGCGGTGATAAACAATTAACGATGTAAAAAACCTTCTTGGTTTAAAAGTTGGACATCATGGTTTTCTACCGTGTAATACATCCACTAATACTCTATGAAAATATACTGTTACTTCCTTTAAAAGCAGTTTGTGTATATATATATATATATATGTATATATATATACATATGTATAGATAAGCAGAGCTGGGCCACCCTAGCGGCGCCTCCGGCGCCGCCCCTGGCGCATTTCGCGCGCCAGGGAGGGGGGTCCAACGCCGACCCAGCACATCCACGCGGAGCTCCGAGAGTTTCTGTTTACGCAGTTTTCCCCATCATCTTGTGGTGTTGGGTCCTCGTTTTGAATCAGCAGCGCCCTGCGTCTCACCTCCTCCCGGTGCCCCCTCCCCCTCCTCCCCCCTCATCTCTACCGAAGGCCCCAGTGGCAAAGACCGCATGCGTCCCCCCGCCCAGTTCGCCACACCGCTCTCACGATTCGGGGCCCCATAGGGAGCTCCCCCCGCCTGCGTCCCACCTGCCTTGCGGCATTCACAGTTGCAGATGAGCGACGGAAGAAAGCAGGGTCTATTGCGCCGACATGTGCGCGTAAATTTCTTGCGGAATGCCGCGCGTAAGCACCCTCGTTTCCAACGGCGTTCCTCGCGGGCGGCCCACGTAAGGTAAGCCACCGCGTAAGGTCGCTATGTCATCTCGCGTAAGACCCCTTTCTGTTCGTCGTTCACATGGTTGAGTCTCTCGCCAGGAGACGTTTGTGTTCCTCGATTCCCTCCGCCGGGTGCTGCCAGAAGTGGCTCTTGCCCAAGGTGTACTTCCAGCCTCTCGCGCCACCTCGGGGCCTCTGGGACCCTCACCGCCCTCGTGAGGGGGGCCTTCTGGAAGGCCGTCGACGCCAGGAGGAGCGAGGAGGAGGAGGAGCGAGGAGCGAGGAGCGAGGAGGAGGAGGAGGAGGAGGAGGATGAGACAGGGGATGAGGAGCGAGGAAGAGGAGAGGGATTGGTTCTTCTTCTCCTCCTTATCTCTGCCTGTTCTGCTGTCGCTCACCTGCCTACAGCTTCTCCCACCAGCCGGCTACTCCTGGAGCGAAGGCCCCAAAAGTCGCTTGCTTGGCTCTCGGTTTGATCAACCCCCCAGGGCCGACCAGCCTTGGGCGGGGGGGGGGAGGGGCAGCACCCGCAGGGACCTCGTGCCATCAGGGACCAGGAACCAGGAGGAGGAGGCAGAGGATGAGGAGCGAGGAGGAGGAGAAGGACGACGAGGAGGAGGAGAAGGAGGAGGAGGAGGAGGAGAGCGGCGTGGTGGAGAGAGCATCAGCCACGACCCACGCCAACCTACGAGCACTCGGTCCGGACCGAGTCCCCTCCCTTGGGCTGGAAGTTGAGCCCTGCGGCACGGTCCCCACTCTGCAAAGAGGCGCGCCACCACTCCGACACACAACTACGGTCGGACCGAGGTGTAAGATCGAGGTCTGTTCGGGGAGGGCACCCAAAGGGTCTTCGTGTTTGTTGAATGTTCTTGTGCATCTGGGGGAGGGTACCCTCGAGTGATCTTTATGCCGGCGGAGGGTCTCAGGTTTTTGAAGGATGTTATTATGTCTTGGGTCCGACCGTACCACCAACCCTACCAATGTTCCACACCTGTGTCACCCGATCCTCGACTGGCGGGCACTCGCCGCTGAGGAGCGCACCATCGCGAGTCCAGGCTACCTTTTTTGTCTGCCAGGCTGGCTCCCAACGGCCACCTCGACCGACATCGCCACCAGTCCAGCTGGGCTTCTTCGACGTGGGCCCATTTCCACATACGTATGTCGCCGCACCGTTTGTCCCGACGCGCGGCCTCACGCCTTGTGGGGGGCGCCGCGGGCACCGGGGCCAAAACGCCGCCTCGGGCGCGATGGGTTCGCCGTGGGTGTTGTCTCGGTGCCGACCTCGCCTATTTGGGGTGCGGGGCGTGGTGCTTGCTGCGGGTTCGCCGGGGTGCCAGCGCCGTCCACTTGGGGGCGTCGAGGACCAATGGCGCAGCGACACACACACACACACACACACACTGTTTGCGTCGGCGGCTAGGCAGAGTCACTGCGGTGGCGATAGGTAGCGGAACGGGGATACCGTGGAGCGAATTGACACACAAACACACACACACACACCGTGTCCAACCGCTCCGCGCTCACTGCCACCGTGGCAGCAGAGCAGCTCGGCCACATGGACTAGTCATCGACCGCTTTGAGGCAGCAGCAGGGCGTTTACTCCTTCCCTGCCTCGACTCCACTCGACTTGGGCACCAACCTCGATGGCATTCACTTGCAGCGAAGGTAGTACCAATTTGGCGAAGGCGGCGCACCACCAACACTTGCGACACTGTGGGGCGTCGTTCCACACGTGGGCCCTTCTTATAGCAAGACGTTGACCGTAGGCGGTCGGAAGGGCACAGTCAGCTAGAGCCCCGGGACGGCTACACACGAGGAGGAAAAGGAGGAGAAAGAGGGGGACGGGGGTGTTGTCTTTTAGTTTACTGGTGGCGCGCCGCACACTTGTCGAGCGTTTGCCATTCGCTGGAATGTTTGCCTTTTGCAACAATGGTCCGCATCTCACCTCGTACTCAAGCTATTCGTGTCCAATGTGGTTGCATGTGCCAATCCAGCAAATCGAGTCTGTTTGCGTTCAGGCGTTCGAGAAGGCCCTTCGCCAGGAGCTCAGCAAACTGATCTTCGACCCGCAGAAGGACGCTTACGCCCGCTTGCTACGGTGTTGCGCATGGTGCCCAAATCTTGTGCGAGTCAACAACTGCCGGCAAGATGAGGTCATGCTCGACCTTGTGTTGGAAGACGGAGTTCCAGTTTCACGCCCACGCTGATCCTCCCCCACCGAGGAACCAAGCACGGCAAAGGCTGCAGGACGGGACGATCAAGTGATTCTTGGGCAGGACGCGGCGCCTCAGAGGAAGCCAGGACGCACAATGTTAAGACGCAGTCGAGATGAAGTCTGTGAAACTATGAAGACAGTCTGACTGTGTGCAAATCGATACGGGATGCCCCATATAGTGGTTGCCCTCAGGGGAGATGGTGGTTGTTTTCATAGCGCGTGGCGTCTGTCTCATCTGTGGTGTTGTACGTTGTTATGTGTGCGTATATGTGTATGTGTATTGTGTCTGTGTTGTGTGCGCATGTCTGTAGATAGGTATGTGCATATAAGGATATACATGTGTATGTGTGTGTGCCTGCGTGTTGCTGTTCGGTCGCCTGCTCGTGATTCCGTCTGCATGCTTGTGCCGCTGTGTTTCTATTGTTGCCAATGTAATGTCACCATGTTGTCACTCCTACGCGACGCTGCTCCAGGAGTTCCGTCTTTGGGTGTTGTCGCAATTGCAGGTGTTATTTCTTGCAGCGGCATTATTGCACCTGCATCCTATTCGCTTCCCTCCACCCATCAATTCGAGGACGTGTCGCGCATCCAGATTACGCAGACGCAGCAGGGTTTGGACATCTTTGCAGACGTAGCGGGGGCGGACGGAGGGGAGGAGGAGGAGGAGGAGGAGGAGGAGGAGGAGGAGGAGGAGGAGGAGACATCGGACGAGATGCTCCAGGCGAGCACGAAGGAGACCAGCTGAAGGAATCTCGGGTGATACAGGTTCTGAGGAAGGAGCAGAAGGAGTTGGAGGAGTGTGAGGGCGAGGAAGAGGAGAGGCAGAAGGCAACAGATGACATATTCCACAAACGAATTGCGAACAGGATTTGGATTACAGGGGTGCGATTGAGGTGGAGTGCTGTGTCGTGCAGAGTGGGGGGGGGGGGGCAGTGGTTGAGTTTTTTGTGGCGGAGGACGCGGGGATGTCGCAGCTGGATCGGCACAAGAGAAGGACAAGACGCTCAGAGAAGTAAGCGAGCTACAGAGCAGCCCTTGCAGCCCATTCTAGTTGTGCTTCCAGGTGGCCGACTCGCCGATGTTCTACTCCCCCCCTCCTCTGTCTTCTTCTCGCGTGCCAGCTTCCTTTTGTTATCTGAAAGGTTCCTTATACTACATGTTAAGCGGGGTCACGGTTTTCTTCCCACCCGCGTCGCACCCGCGTCTCACATTCATTTCCCCATGTCCTGCCTTTTCCTTCCCACCCGCACACACATCATGCACACGCACACATACCCACGCAGACACACGTCGAACGTACGCGCGTATACCGAGCACACATGCATCGGACACACGCACGCGTGCATGTTTTCGCATATCCGATAGACACACGTGCGCGAACACGCACCACAGAGCCGTACACTGACACCATACATACGCAGCACACACAAGACAACGCTAGCCGACGGTTGACGCTGGCACATTATACACTTATAAGCCGCTTGCAGGAGCAAACAGATACACTACACGTGCAGACGTATACACATCAATGCCATACACAATATGAGACCGGAGCAAAACCCAATCAGAATATGATCAGGGCTATAGGGCTATAGGGCTATAGGGCTATAAGGCTGTAAGGCTATGGGGCTGTAAGGCTTTAGGGCTTTTCTAGAAGCTTCGCGTAACCCTACCAGCCCATCCAGAAACGATGCCCAGAGGAAGTGCCTCGATCAAGGAAGAGGGCAGCACACAGAGGAAGGGTCTCCCAGTGGAGGCCTCTTGGAGCGTCTTGAGGGCCTCTTGGCGGTCCCGGACGCCTCTTAGAGCGTCTTGGGTGCCTCGCAGAGCTTCTTGGGGCCTCTTGGGGGTCTCTTGGGAGCCTCTTGGAGGCCTCTTGGGCGCCTGTTGGGGCCTCCTAAGGCCTCCTGGGCGCCTCTTGGGACCCTCTTGAAGCGCTCTTGGGAGCCTTGGGGGCGCTCTTGGAGCCCTCTTGGGCCATCTTGGAACCATCTTGAGGCCTCGGATGGCCATCGGAAGCGAAAAGGCGAGAAAGCCAAAAACACTGATTTTCGCAAGGTTTTGGAAGGATATTGGCCTCTTCGGGCCCTCCTGGGGGAGCTCTTGAGCCACTTGGAGCCGTCTTGGAGCGGTCTTGGGGCCTCTTGGAGCATCGTGGGAGCCATCTTGAGGCATCTTGGGGTATCTTGAGCCATCTTGGAGGTCATCGTGGGCTATAAAATACATGATTTTGTCATTCTCGCCGAGGCCTCTTGGAGCGTCTTGGGTGCCTCTGGGGGGCCTCTTGGGGCCTCTTGGGGGCATCCTGGGGCCCTCTTGGGCCACCCTTGGGAGCCTTGGGAGCGCTCGTGGGGCCATCTCGGATGAGATCGATCAAAGAAGGGGGGGTCCTTAATTAGCGCCGCCCCCCCAAGAGGCCAAAATGGGGCCAAAACCGTTGTAAAACCAATGATTTGGGCTTCCTCGCCGAGGCCGTTTTGAACGCGCTGACCGCTCGCGGGGCGCCCCGTCCAGGTTCAGGGGAGGGGGTAGGGGGAGGGGTGAGGAGCCGCCCTAAACCACCTACGCCCAGAGGGCTGGTGGGATTAGGGCTGTCGGGCTACAGGGCTATATGGCTATAGGGCTATAGGGCTACCGGGCACCCGGGCACTTGGGCACCCGGGCACCAGGGCACCCGGGCACCCGGGCACCCGGGCATTTGCAGAAATCGGCGGCGCACCTCACAGGCACCCGGGCACCCAGGCACCCGCGGAAATCGGCTGCGCACCTCACCTAACCATATGAATCCGCTAGGATCCCTACAGAGGCACGCTCTGATTGGGGAACATGCAGGGCGTGGCAGGCGTGGCACTTCCTCGACACTCGACGGGGTGTGCAGGGGATGGTCCTTGAGCGCCGTCCTATACGGTACAGGCCCGCAGGGCACGGTAGGCGTGGCACGTTCTCGACACTAGACGGGGTGCGCAGGGTTTTGGTCCTTGAACGCAGTCTCCATGCAGTCCAGGTTCGCAGGGCACGGAGGCGTGGCATTTGCTCGGCATTGAAGGAGGTGCGCAGTGGGTGGTCTCTGAGCGCCGTCTCTGTACGGCCTGGTCTCGCAGGGCACGGCAAGCGTGGCATTTGTTCGACACGAAGGAGGTGCGCAGGGGGTGGTCCCTCAGCGCCGTCTCTACACGGTCCAGGCTCTCGGGGCACAGCAGGTGTGGCATGTTCGCGACACCAGAAAGTGGTGCACATGGGGTGGTCCTCGAGCGCCGTGCCTGTCCGGTACAGGCCCATCGGGCACGGCAGGGTGACATTCTTCACGCCAGAGGGGGTGCGCCGGGGGTGATCATTGAGCGCAATGTCTATACGGTCCAGTCTTGCAGGGCACGGCAGGCGTGGCACCTACTCGACACCTACGCAAGTTTCGGGAGCGCTGACCCGTTTTCTTTCACAAGGCACCGTGGCCTCGGGGCTGCAGATCCATCGCACTTCACATCGTAATTTCAGGGGCGGGAACCCATGGTTGGCCACGAGGGGTCGTGGTGTTGGGATCGTGGGCCCACGGCCAGGCCACGAGGGGTCGTGGCCCTGTGAGCGCGGCTCGGCCGTCTCCTGCAGGTCACAAGGCACCCGGCGGAGCCTCGGGAGGGAGGGCGGGTTCCGCGACGGCGGAAGCACGCTCTCGTTGCGCGCGCTCGCTGGAGGCAGAAGCAGAGGCCCGCTTATGGTTCGCACCGCTGTGCGGTCACCAAGCTGTCCGCTCCCCGTTGCCCCTGCTTCTGTTGTAAGGTAATTGATGTTCCAACCTACTTTAGCCTTGATCACCAGAGAAAGAATTTCGAGCGCCAGAAACATGCCCAAAAATTGAAGGGTTTTCACGTGTCGGGCACTTGGAGACACTGTTTCAACATCTTTCGACACTCTTCCGGCACTTTTCCGGGTGCTCGAAATTATTTTTGGGATGTGGTCCTTAAATACGATGGGAGCAGCATAATTGTAAGGGTTGATTCTGAGCCAAATGCAGGAAGCGGGCAGAACGCGAAGGCGGACGGCCTCAGCAGGCGATGATGTGAGCACCTTCTTGCTCCTGCGGCACCTGCTCGAACCTGCTGCGCCCTTTACTCCTCCTGCACGCCCGACAGATCGGGAGGTCACGGGGCCCGCCTCGGTGGTCGAGGAGATCCGCGAGCGCATCAACGGCAACCTGATGGTGGGGAAGTTCCAGGAGACCGTGCGTAGTGCTCTCCCCTGCCCAAAGAGGGGCCCTCGCCGGGCCCCGGGGGTCCGCCGGGGCCCTTCCGTGCGTGGTTTGCAGGCCTTCGCTGGGCCCCGGGGCCGCCAAAAAGCGGCTCAGGGTGATAAGTTGGTCCCCGTCTGAAAAGGGGTTTACACTTGTGGGGGTCCACGTTCTGCCCCCCCCCCCCAAAAAAAAATGACGTGGATCTGGGTACCGATTTGGATACCGCTACCCTTTCCTTGTTTTCGCATTTGTGGGTTTCTTGTGAGGCCCTCGTCGCCACTGCCAGATCGGCCTCGAAGTTGTGGTCGGAACGCACCCCAGGAGATGTCCTGGGAGTAGCGGCAACGGTACCATTTGGTTCCCCTTGGATGATAACATTGTTATCAGTTATATCCCCATGGTTCCGCATCACTGCCGCCGACTTACCCGAGGTCGCCGGCCTTTGAGGATTTTGCAGCGCGTGGCCGTTGGTGTTCTTGACCCTGGCTGCCGACCACCCCAGTTTGTGCCAAATGCACGATTCATTCGGTCTGATCACGCGGGCGTTCTCGGTCTGATTGTGCCATCGTTTGTATCGTTTGGCGCACGTTGCGATTGGACACGTGATTGCATCGCATAGTCATGGGCTTGATGTTGCGAAGTGGTCGCATGTCTCAAGCCGAGACGGCGGCGCAGTGGCGAAAGTCACCCCAACAGATCCCCTCTGGCCCAACATGCTGGCCACATCTGCATCGCGGAGCCTCCAGTGCCTTCCCCCTCCCCCTCCGCCCCCCACCCCCCTGCGCGGGGGAAGGAGGAGATCCTCATTCTCGGAGGCCCCAAATAGCCCAGACGCGCCAAGAACTGCTCCGACAAAAGCGTCCACCACGCTTCCCGCTTCGATCCTCGAGGACCGACTGCGCAAGCCAGCAGGGGGAGGAGGCAGACCGACGCCGTGCTTCTTGTTCACGACGTGGACCCCCAGAGGTCCAGACCCCGTCCTCGGGACCAGCTTCTCATCCCGAGCCGTCTTTCGGGCCTCAAGCGACAGGGGTAGATGCAAGCGGGGGCCAGTCAGAGCGCCCGATCCTGCAGGATCCTGAAGGGCCAGGGTTGCATTGACCAGGGTCTGGGTGCAGAATCTTGCAGGATCCTGCAGGATCTTGCAGGAATCTTGCAAGGCTTGACTGACCCGGGTTTGGATTGACCCGGGTCAGAAGATCCCCGAGTTTTGTGACGGCCCCGGAGGGCTTGGTGAGGGCCACCAGAAGCCAACAGATTGCCATAATTTGCCCCTCGTGATTCTCCTCCCTCCTCCCTCCTCCCTCCTCCCCAGAGATGCAGGAGGAGGCGCCGCAGAGGGAGGGGAGGCGCCCCTTGGCCCGCAGGGGCGCCTCGTGGACAGCCACCCCACCGTGATGGTGAAGAAGAGCCTGCTGATGCCGTACATCGGCGTGCGCGGGAAGGGTGGCGGCCTGAACTTCGCGGTCGTTGCCTCGCGCTCCCTCTCCGCCTCCACGAAAAAACATCACGGCGAGAGGTTTTTCGCTATTGTCAGCCTCCGGGGGTCCCCACCAGGCCCCGAGACCGTCGAACAGCTGTTCGGGATGAAGACCTGGTCCTGGGGAAGGGGTCCGAAGGGAAAAAAACATGACGTCGGGGGTCTGGGGAGTGCGCCTGGATTACACCCAAAAGATGTATCAGGAAAAGGCAGTTTCTGGATCAGAGGCTGGGCCATCTTATCCTGCAATGGAGAATCTGGAGTCCAGAGTAGACTATGGAGGGCGGCGCCGACAACAAACATGGGTTGCGCATTATGTATGTTCATGCTTAAACTGTTGTTGGTGAGTTTCAGGACCAGAACCATGAGGAAACGAGTCTTGCAGTATGTGTTCTGAGGTTGAAGTGGTGTTAATAATCGAATGGCCTTCGGCCCATCATGCCACTGTGCCTGGGTTGTGGGTCTGAGGCCTCTTAGATGGTCGTTGGGATCTAGTCCAGGCTTCTCGGGGGCCTGGGGGTTTGAAGCTCTGGGGCGCTGTTTCGGGGCCTCTTGGAGCCTCTTGGGGGCCTCTTGGGGCCTCGTGGGGGCCTCTTGGGGGCATCTTCGGGCCTCTTGGGGGCCTCTTGGGAGCCTCCTGGACGCTTCTTGGGGCGGGAGGCTCGGATTTTCGGTTCGTGTTCCCCCTCTTGGACCTCTCTTGGACCGTCTTGGGGCCCTCTTGGGCCGTCTTGGGCGCCTCTTGAGCCGTGTTGGGGTCCTCTTGGGCCCTCTTGGGGGCCTCGGTGGCCGTCTTGTGGCGGTCTTGGGGGCCTCTTGGGGCGTCTTGGAGCGTCGGCAGCTAGAAAAATGGAGAACCTAACAAGCATCGGAAAAACCTAAGGAAAATACATGATGTTGGCCTCTCGGGGCTCGAAGGCTTATTGGGCTATCTTGAGGCCATCTTGGGCGCCCAGCAACGATCTTTCGACGAGTTTGGGCTCTCTTCGAACGTGTGGGCGGCCTCCTGGTGCTTTTTTGTTGGCCCGTTTGGGGGCCCTCCTGGGCGAGGAGATCGTCCCGGAGGCCCGCGCAAGAACCCCAGCGGTGCCCGGCCGCGCCCAGGAGCGGGCGAGAAATCTGGAGCCTGGGCTTTCGAGAACCTTACAGAGCCTCTGCCTCCAAAAGTTGCGTGAGCCCTGGGGCACTCCACTGCGTGCTGAAGGCACGGTGGCGGAGATGCTCCAGTGCAACTCTGGGCCTCCTAGATGGGGTCCGAGTAGAGGGGGTCGGAGGATCGCGCCGCATCGCCGATGCCTCGGCGATGCGTCTCGATGTGGGGCCCACTTTTCTCCGCGCCAGCGTCGCCGATGCAACGCCGACGTCGCCGATGCAGCGCTGATGCATCGGCGATGCATCGCCGATGTAGCGGCGATGCGGCGCGATTCCCAGCTGCTCGGACCCCATCTATCAGAGCGTGAACTACCTACCCCGCTTTCGCTTCCAGGCAAAACCAAGTCATACCACGCGCCTCCTCGTCAAGCGGCCAGACCAGTACAGGCCGTAGTTTGGCATCGCTTGGTATCTCTTGGAAGCGAGGGTGGTCAAAAGCGAGGTAGGTTTGTTTTCCCCCTAATCTAGGAGGCCTCTCGTAGCTTGTTTACGTTTCTGCCACGCCCCGGTCTTCGATCTGCAGCGTGCCTTTCGCTCGGAGAGCAGGCGGCGGCGCAGGTGGTGCGCGCCTCTCCTTCTCCTCCTCCTCCTCCTCCTCCTCCTCCTCCTCCTCCTCCTCCTCCTCCTCCTCCTCCTCCTCTCCTCGTCGTCCTCCTCCTCCTCCTCCTCCTCCTCCTCGTCCTCCTCCTCCTCCTCCTCCTCCTCCTCCCCCTCCTCCTCCTCCTCCTCCTCCTCCAGCCTGACAGTGCGCGTGCCCTCGGAGACCATTTTCCGGTCGGCGCCGATCGACCCCCACCTTGCCCGCACATGTCGTTCCTGCTGTGCCCAAGGGTCAAGTCGGGCACGTCCGTTTACAGAAGGAACATTCAAAATAGTAAAAAGATAGTCTGGCGACGATGTTTTACTATTTATGATTATTGTTTAGCGGTTCTTCATTGTTCTTCGGTTTTCTTCCAAAGTCCGCCTGTAGGAGGACATGCCAGACCTAACCCAAGGGACGACAGGGAGGAGCCTCTGAGACGGAGGACAGAAGCAGCGGCTCGAGGAAACTCTGCTGGTCAGCTTGCGCGCGTGTGCAGGCCTTTTCTACTTCACTCCACAGCCGGCACGAGGGTTCAGATCGAAAATCGATGGAACCCACACCCTTGCCACGTCGATTTGCGAGTTGCCCTTGTTTGGTTCTCGAGGGCGCTGCGGCAGAGATGGTTGCGGATCTGCGCCCGCGGGTTCTGCCCCGGGCTCGTTTTCACTGAAGGGTGTTTTGCTAAAGGGCTTTCTGTCCACACCTGTCGGGGAAACGTAAGACTCGAGTACGCCGCAACTCGGGTTTCCGGGTTTGCCGACGCTTTTTGACGAGCGCGTCTTGGATTTTGACGGTCCAATTTTCGTGGGATGTCTGCAGCGGGAGCTCGCGTCAAATTTCAGGTTGGGCCTCGTCATTTTCACGATGGCCCCGTCAGGCCGTCCCGAGTCCCCCGAACCCGAGGCCTACGTCTTCCCGAACCTGGTGAGAGCAACCCTAGATTTGGAGGGACACCCGTGTTCTAGTCCTGGTTGGATTCTCGACCTTGAACATGTGATTCTCAGGAGGAAAAAAACACAGAGGCACAAGTAATCGTCGACTCCCAGGAAAAGATTGGAAAATATGGGTAGTGGGGGAAGACGAAAACCCCAAAAATATACGAACATATGGGGAATCCTGGGATTTGTGTCTATGTGCCCCTGGGCCCCCTCAGATTCGCTCTGAGGATCTCCATGGGGCAGTTGGGGCCTTCGGCGAAGAGGCCCCTGTTCTTGCGCGCTCCTGCGGCACGTTTTTCGGCTGCACCCTGCACACCCCCTCCCTGCTCGTGCTGGTGCCCGAGGGGGGCGACGGCGAGGAGCATCTCTGGGGCGGAAGGAGGACAGCAGCAGTGCATCGGAGAAGCTCCTCTGCGCGCGCGCGGCAGAAGCACGAAGCGAGGGCGCGAGATGCCGAAACTGCCACAGCACACGCCTGCGCGCTCAGGCGCACGGGTTGTGCCGCGCAGAGAAGAGCATAGAAGTAGTAGGTTGGCCAGCGCGGATCACAAACAGCAAGTCCTTCCCCTGTGGATGTGCAAAAGCTATGCGGTGCAAGCTGTGTGGCGTGAGCTCGGCAACGGGCGGCAACGTGGCGAATGCGCGGCACACCGCCACAGGCGGCAACGGGCGTCAACGAGACGAATGTTTGGCGTACCCCATAGGCGGAAACGGGCAGCAACGGGCAGCAACGTGTCGAATCTTTGACATACCCCCACAGGCGACAACGGGCGGCAACGGGTGGCAACGTGGCGAATGCTCGGCATACCGCCACAGGCGGCAACGGGCAGCATCGGGCGGCAACGTGGCAAATCCTCGGCATACCCCACACGCGGCAACGGGCGCAAACGTGGCGAGTCCTCGGCATACCGCCCTCAGGCGGCAACGGGCGACGACGTGGCGAATCCTCGGCGCACCCCGCGGGCGGCAACGGGCGGGAACGTGGCGAACCCTCGGCGGAACCCCACTGGCGGCAAGGGGCGGCAGCGTGGCGAATCGTCGGCATGCCCACTCAGGCGGCAGCGGGGCGGCACTGGGCGGCAACGGGGCGAATCCTTGGCGTGCCACCACAGACGGCAGCGGGGGCAGCGTGGCGTGACAGGTCAGAACCCCCCAAGGGGCCTCGCCGCGGGCGGCCTCCGCGGCGCCCGGCGCCTCGTCGGCGGCGACGACGGTGACGACGGCGGCGGCGGCGGCGACGAGGAGGACGAGGAGGAGGACGAGTACGAGGACGAGGGCGAGAACGGGCTCCGGGAGAATTGAGAGGGACGCTCTGCAAGAGCCGGCGGGGCCTGCACCGCGCTCGGGCGCGGCGGCGCCGCACCAGCGGCCAGGTCGACATGCTGCAGTTCCGCGACGGCTTCATCGGCACGGGCGCGGAGCAGGCCTCCGCCCTCACGGGGGCGCCCGCCGCCGCACGCCGAGGGAACACCCGCATGGATCGAGGCGCGAGGGCGAGTTCGAGCCATGGTGATGATGCTGATGCTGATGCTGATGCTGATGCTGATGCTGATGATGATGATGATGATGATGATGATGATGATGATGATGATGATGATGATGATGACGATGGTGATGGTGATGGTGATGGTGATGGTGATGGTGATGGTGATGGTGATGGTGATGGTGATGGTGATGGTGATGGTGATGGTGATGGTGATGGTGATAGTGATGAGGAGGAGGAGGAGGAGGGGAGGAGGAGGAGGAGGAGGAGGATGGGGATGATGATTAGGAGGAGGATGCTGATGATGATGGTGGTGATGACGATGATGGTGGTGATTATTATGACGACTTCGATGATGATGGCAATGATGGTGACGATGATGATGGCGATGGTGGTGACGACGACGACGACGACGACGACGACGACGACGACGACGACGACGATGATGCTGATGGTGATGGTGATGGTGATGGTGGTGATGATGCTGATGCTGATGCTGATGCTGATGGTGATGGTGATGGTGATGGTGGTGATGATGATGATGATGTCGATGGTGATTGTGATGGTGATTGTGATGGTGATGGCGATGGCGATGGCGATGGCGATGGTGGTTGTGATTGCGGTGATGATAATAATGATGATGAGGGTGGTGATGATGATGATGATAATGATGATGATGATGATGATGATGATGATGATGATGATGATGGTGATGATGATGATGATGACGCTGGTGGTGATGACGATGATGATGATGGTGATGGTGGTGATGATGACCATGATGCTGCTAAGGATACTGATGAGGAGTATCTGCGGACCCTTTTCAATACGAAGTCGGCGCGCTCTGTGGACAAGTTTGGCTGGCAGTGGCCTCATGTTTCGGGGAGCACCGTCCCTGCTTCGTAAACCTGGCGCCCGCGGGCCAGGTCCACGAACCCCCCGTCTCGGGCGTGCCCGACACACGCCCCCAGCCGCGGCCGCTGCCGGCGACCGTCCCTCTGGGCCGTCGCAGGCCCCAGGCCTCGGTCGCCACGGAGCTGGGCGGGTGCTGGCCGGGGGCCCGGTGGGGAGGGGAGGCGACCCGGACGTGCGCGCGCCGTGCTAGAGGAGGCACTCCAGAAAGAGAACGCGACGAATACGAATAGGTTTGCGGAGCTAGCTCGAGCAGCGGACCGAGTGCAGACCTCTCGATGCAACAGACGAACGCGCCTGATGATTCTGAATCGATTCGTGTGCATACCAGCTCTGTAGCTCTCCTACAGCATGAGTGAATTACAGAAAACCGACAGCACCAGGCCCTCGCCTCCGAGGATCGAAGGAGGTGTCCCCTCTGCCTCGGCAGAAGGCCAGCGGCGAGCGGCGGGAGGAAAAAGCGGCGGCGGTTCCGCTGGCCGAGGGCCGGCGGAAGGCCGGCGGAGGCCAGCGAAAGCAAAGGTCAGCGATCCAGGAAGGCAGCTTTTTTGGAGTTCGGGGTTTCGGAAATCGGCCAAATGACGACGCAAAGTTTTTGGCAGAGGCCCTTGCCGGGTTCTGGGACCTCGACACAAAAAACAATTCGGGATGCAGAGCCGGCCCCGTGGAAGGGTCGCGGGTCTTCCGGAGGCCCCGCATTTTTCTTTAAAACAAAAACAAGGCATCCGATGTCGGGGGCGGGAAGAAGACAATGCAGGATGATGATGAAATGAGTACGTTCACGCGGCGGCGCTGATGGGAAAAATAGGCTCCGGGCCGGGAAACTACTTTTGAAACGTTCCCTCCGGCCTCCTCGGGCGTGCGCCTGGTCCGTCGGCTGTCGGCGGGCCAGACGGGGCCGAAGCGAAGCGGAAGCCGAAGACTCGGAAAGTATGTTGTCAGTCGTTCTCCCCACATATTTTACCGATCTTCATCTTACATTAGTCCGGGCCTCCCGGATGGGGTCGGAGTAGATGGGGTCGGAGGATCGCGCTGAAGAGCCGGTGCATCGCCGATGCACCGCCGATGCATCGCCGATGCATCGCCGATGTATCGCCGATGCTGCGCGATCCTCCGACCCCGTCTACTCCAACCCCATCAAGGAGGCCTCTAGGTAGGGGGTGCGTCCAGGTGTCTGTCCCGGGTCGGCCGGCGGACGTTCGTGCTGCCAGAGGATGAATATTCAAAAATAGTAAAAGATAGTCTGGGGACGATGTTTTAACTATTGTTGAACATGTTTTTCTTCATTTTTGGCTATTACTTATTTGTCGTCCAAAATCCGCCTGCAGGGGGACACGACCGACTTAAGGGAAGGGTCGAGGTCGGGTTGGGAATCGGTTGGGGGGGTCGAAGGTCTTGTATAGTCCAGTGCGATGGCGTGTATCGCCCTGGCAGCTTCCTTTGCAAATTAGTTTGGTGCGGTGGGAGTTGCTTTAACCTAGCGCGCGAAACCTCACGAAACTGCACAATGCGGTCCACATGCGCGGGCGCATCTACTTTCTGGTTTGTCAGCGTTGTAAGTAAGAGCGTAATGATGCAGGTATGGTGATCCGCTTGTCCCTCAAAAGGAAAATGTTATATATTACGCGCGCACCTGCAAAATCATAGGCTGCGGGCCTGCAAGTGGGCAAGATTTGGATGAATTCGTCAATGGTGAAAACATTCGTCGGCATTGGTGGTTACATGCTTGCGCGGTTTGACGCACGGATTGGCTATAGCACCTGACGCGTACACCCCCGTGCTCAGTTCAGTCATGGCCTCGGGCGAGTGCGGAGTTTCATGATCGAGAGGACGAGCGGGAATGATCTGCACAGCGACAGCAGCTATATTTTGCACAATTTACTGTTACTCTAGTTTGCCCCACTCTGCTCTTAGTACACCTTGGTAGATCCCCCTTGTCATTACATCATTGTTTGCTCGGCTCGTATGTATGATAGACTACGCGCCTCTCCCCGTTACTCCACGACGATGCAGTTCATATCATTACACGTGGCACTACGTCTACCCCTTATTCGAAGCATTCCTTATTGGAATGCGATTCCGAATACACTCGTGCCCCATGCGACTGCGATTACAATTGCATCCGTACTCGCCATGAAAAGGTTCCCGCCGAGGATATATCATCACAACCATCCCAACTCCATTCATATAGATACCATCGCTATGATTTGGCGTCGCTATCATATATCAGCACCCACCCCCTAAAACACTACTCAATTCTAGACGCGTCGCGTAGATCCCACCAGCCCATCCAGACGATGCCCAGACGAGTTGCCCTGATCAGGGATGTGAAGAAGTTTGTTTTGGAATACGTGCCTGGGTAAGACGCCGTGCCCGAAGAGGGTGGGACGGAGGAGGAATCGGAGGAGCACAAGGAAGAGTAGGGAGGGGGAGGGAGAGAAGGGAGGAAGAAGGTGGGGGAATAGGCGGATGAGGAAGAGGAGGGGGAGGAGGGCGAGCAGAAAGGCCAGAGACCTCATGATGCCTCGGAGTCTCTTCGGATGTCTTCCGCTTCTTGGAGTCCTCGTGGGGCGTATTGGAGGTTTCTTGGCAGTCCCAGGTGTTTCATTTGGTGACCCTTACGCCCATTCACGAGAAGACCAGAGAGTACAACTTGAAGCTCTGGGTCGTTGCCGTGGGCTTCCAGAAAGCATTCGACACCGTGAACCATTCTGCTATCTGGCATGCCCTGCGCCAGCAAGGGGTTCGTGAGGCATACGTTCAAGTGTTGAGACGATTGTACGCGGGAGAAACAGGCCAGGTGGTGTCGGATCGGGAGAGCCGGGCGCTCAAGATTGAAAGGGGCACGAAACAAGGCGACCCAGCATGCGGGACCTCAAGAGGACGTGGAGGAAGGACAGGATTGGACTCTATACGGGGTCGCGTTATTTGACCAATTCGAGGTTCGTTGACGACGTTCTTTTGCTTGGAACCAGCAGAGCGCAATTGCGACAGATGTTGGCAGACTTTTGCGAGAAGGCGCGCTTTGTTGGCTTGCTGCTTCACATGGGCAAGACAAAGATCTTGTCCCACGTGGCAGACCGCAAGGGAGTGCTGCGACAAAAGGACGTCGCAGTTGGCGACGGGAGAGTCGAAGTCCTGGAGTACGAGGACAGCACCAAGTACTTGGGCAGACAGTTGACGTTCAGTGATTACCACGACGTGGTGATCAACCACAGGATCTCGAGGGGGTGGGTTGTTTTCGGGAAGTTAAGATCCGAATTGTGCAATCTATATTATCTGTTGCAATCCAGACTAAGGCTGTTCGACGCAGTCGTGTCTTCCACGGTGCTGTTTGGTAGTGGTGCCTGGACGCTCACTGCAGCACGCGAGCAAAAGCCCAACGCGACTACGCGAAAGACGTTTCGGAAAATGGTCGGCGCACGCAGGTTGGATGACGAGCCATATGTCGACTGGCTTGCGAGTGCAACCCATCGGGCAGTGGAGGAATACTCAAAGACCAGGCTGTCCACTTGGCTTGAAGCGCAAGCAGAGAGAACAAAACGTTTATACCAGAAGCTACAGTCGCGCAGTGACCACAGGTGGGGGCAGGTTGCGCGACGATGGGCGCCGCCTGGGGTTCGACCTGTCGGAAGGCCATCAAAGAGATGGACTGACTAATCTGCGAGAGTGCGAGAAGGTGGCGGCTGCGAGAATGCGCGCGTGAGAAGGCGAGGAGGTCCGCGACCGCCCGCACAGGGCGCGCCTCTGCGCACGCCGCACCTGACCTGACCTGACCTGACCTTTAGTGTCTCTGGGCGCCGCTTTGGGTTTTTGGGCGGTCTCTTGGGAGCTTATTGGAGGCATCTTGGGGACTTCCTGGGGGCTTCTTGCTGCCTCCTGGGCGCTTCTCGGGGCCTGTGAGCCTCCGGGGCATCTTGGAAGAGATCGGTCAAAGGAGGGTCCTCACTCAATTACCGCCCCTCCCCTGGAGGCCAAAATGTGGCCAAAATCTTAGAGTCATTGACGTTGGCTTTTTCGCCGAGGCCA